AAAAAGCACAAAGGGAAGATACCAATTGGCAGATATAATGGGTTAAATTTTCATTGTTCATGAAGATTGCCTAGTGGAAATGTAATGGCCAGATCCTTTTGTTCACAGGCCTTTTACCTTTCCTAGCCTTTTGTTCAAAGGAACTTTAATGTGCCATGCTGTGGGGAAACAGGGGGATCAAATAGTTCTACTTATAAATCCTGACAATTCTGTAAATTTAGCAACACATTGTCCCTAATCTTTGCTAAGAAATTTTATTATTAGGAAAGTCATTTTAATGACCAGTTATATGAGGTTTACCATTTTTGATGATCTTGGAAAAAAGACCTGAATTAATCATAAAACTGAGTTCAAATTAAATACCAGTTCATATCATGCAGTATCAAGTCATGAATAAAAGATGCTTCTGTGAAAGTAGAAAAAAAACTGGAGAATGACAATAATTTGCATTAATATTCACAACTCAGATGCGGTTCAATATCAATCAACAATCTATACACAGTGCTTCTGCTTTAAGTCAACTCCTTCAGAGATTAATAATTAGAAACAAAAGGTCTCCCACCAGCATCCCATTAAGATCAACAAGGAAAATGTCTCACATTCTGGCAAAGAAAATATCTCCGCTGACTTCCCGCCAACACTTGGCTTGCATGTCATTAACATTCCTTCAATAATTGTTCAGCATACAATCTCTGGTCTGCCCTCCATGTGTCATGCACATAAACACCCTTCATCCACACTCGCTGTTAGGCCACTGATATAGCAAAGAGCATTGATTTTTTTCCACCCTTAAAGATTATGCCAGAAGCCGAGTAGAAGAAAAACTGGTGTAATGTTCCTAATGATCATGTAACATGGAGGTGATCTGTAGGTTTGGTGTTAAGGATAATGATTAGTGTTGATCTATTTCTATTCCTGCAATTCACTCTAATTCCATAGATTTCACTTCTGTAAATTGAGCAATTTTGCTTCATTGTCAGTGTCATTTAATTTTTATCAAAAACTGATGTGGAATATTGCTTGATATAAATGGCTGAAGAATGCATTTAATCTAAAAAAAAAACAATAAATACTCAAATTTTAGATGGTTTTATAAATTTAATATCATTCTAAACTTTCCTAATTTGGTGTTAATTTTACTCAAAGTCGTACTGCCTACAGTAATGTTATTCATATTCAATCATATATGAAATACATATTTAGAAATACTATAACATACAGCGCCAATCAATGTAAATGATCTTGCATTTAGTACTAAAAAAACTCGCTATTATTCTAAGAAATTTGATGACCGAATATGTGGTCAATGTCTTGAAACTGGGCTATCAAGAGGTCAAGGTGAGCAAAAATGTCTACACTGACCACAACAGAGTGTCTGTAAAAGCTGAAGCAAATGCTGAAGCAAATATTATGCAAATGTTTTGGCTATTCCAATTTGTATAGCTTCTCATACATGGTCAGTATCCTGGGGAGATGGTCACCTCCATATAACAAGGAACCACAGTCTGGAGGTCAGTGTCTGGTTGTCAGACAGGCAGGGGTCAGCGTGGTCAGTTTAACCCGGCCAGACCACTGGTTTGACCATATAACACTGGGTTTACAGTTGGATTCCAGACCAGGGGGGCACCCAGAGATATGACAAGACTGTGGCTGATGGTAGAACAGCTGCCAGCAGCAACAGGTCTGGATGGTGTTTACACTGTAGCCTAACCCTATACTAGAACACTTGTTGTATGGTGTATTTTGTTTTATACACTGACAAGTCCCAAGTTACTTGAGTAGACTGACCATACTACTACAGCAAAAGTGATGCTAGTTAGAAGTTTTCAAGACCAGTTAGAAGTTTTCAAGACCCAAGATATTGGGTGTTATGGTCTGATGCTGCACCATATAATAACAGTTCAATCACCCTCGTCTGATTTATTAGCTTGAAGCAAAAAGATAAATCAACTCAAATATAATCTATATCATTTGAGAAATGCCACATTTCATTCTCTTTCACACACTGTGAAGAAAATAGCTCATTACCATGTCCTAAATTCTTTTACTCAGATTTGGAGATAATTGCTAAAAGGAGTTTCTACAGAGCCTTGTCCTCTACTGTTACTTCTAGGCTAGAGTACTAGCCATAGTACCCAGTACATACTCTATAGTAGTAGGAATACTATGAATGACCCTACAGACTGGGCAGATTTAAATTTTGGCAACAAGAAGGGCCTCAGAGTGTAATGTGTGGGAGGTTACGGAGAGAGGCTGTTCTCGTCGTATGATAATACGATAAAACAGGAGTCCCTCAGGGGCCCGGCTACAGAGCAATTTTGATGCCAAAATCGACAAGCTGCAAAGTTTTCTAGTTATGAATCACTGGTATTGATCGCAGAGCTGGGGCCAATTTTATCCTAATAACCAACTTGTTTTTAATGGCAAAAACAGCCACACGGCAAAGTTACCAAGATCCACAGCCGTGAGCATGCTTAACAAGATTGCACTGCTTCTGATAATCAGCAAATCACTGGAATATAGAGGTGACCTTTTCGCTGAGCTCTCTCAAATTATGTCTCCAGCAGTCAGTGTTCCAGACTGCACCAGTTCTCAATTATCCCATTCCCCCCTCTCCTGTGCACAAAAGATAACACGGCCTATGACTTGATATTTTAACCAACAGCCATATCCTTCTTAATTCTCTCCCCGCCTCAGTAAACTGAGGGGCCTCATTACGTACAGAAGGGCAGCAGACACGCAAGACTACCATTGTCCCCTTTTTTACCCACCACATGAAATAGCACACTCTCCTCGACTCCACTGTGAGGTCTTTCATATCCTCTCATTTACATCTCTCTCTCCTTTGGCTGGCAGCAAGCAGTTTCATAAAGAATGAGTATGGTTATTAGTGGCTCTGTGTTCTAGAGAGATTGACCTAGTTCACAAATGAGCCAGGTTCACCAGTTCAGTTGGCCACATGGTCAGACTCCATCGCTGCTCATTCTAGGTAATTAATGCCCTTTGCTTGAGAGCTCGCTCAGGCTTTTACTAAATGAGTCCCTGCCACCGCTGTCAGCAACAGCCAGTTAATTACTGCGTCTTGTGATTGTCAATCAAGACTCTGGAAGCTGTTTTCTGTTTTACATACAGCAATCAAGGGCCTGTTTGACCTCACTACTGGTTTTCAGCTGGCACAACTCAGCCCAGACAGAAAGCTTTCTCTTCATTATGGAACTAATCTCTCCTCCACTGGTCTAATTTATGCAAGCTATCATCTACTTCTGAGCAGAGACTGAGAAACAAAACCACAGTGCTGACAGTATTTTACTGGTTCTTGTAGAGGGGTCGCCTTGCTTTCCTAATATGACAGATCACAGTGGGCAAATTACGACATTAACGAGGGAGAGAGCAAGCTAATTTTCTCCACTCAATTTGTGAAATAGAAACAATAGCTATGACGTCATTTTATGGAAAATATTTTCATAAAAAATTGCAATAAAAAGAAAAGCTGAAACCCGTAAGTGCCACGGATCACTGTACTGGTTTCATAAGAGATAACTGATTGTTCTAAGACATTGTGGTGTTCTCCCTCATTGTAATGACACAGAACTGGCAGGTTGTGTCAAATCATCATGGTGGTTTGCGAACATGCACTGTGGCAGACCTTATGCCTCAGCCAGCTGAATAATTACTTTTTGATGAGCAGAAAAGCTCAGCTAATGAAATAGCTAATGTTATAATGGCTACCAGCTTTTCAAACTGGGATCAAATCTATTATTATTATCTATGAACCTAGTTGCGATCTTGAAATTCCATGAAGGGAACACTTTAAATACACAATTATTTCTCTTCCAAATAAATGAATTCATCACCATCGTTATATATGAGACCCCAATCTTGTTTGAGCCATCTCTTCAATATGTCAAAGCCATAGACATCACAGCCTTTGTTGTCATTGGTGGAGAAAAATGATACTAATTACAGCAATTTTTCCACTGCTGTGTCTCATCTTGATCTTTGTTTCTTCTGCACATCACGCAAAATACTAACATTGCATTACCATCTGCTTTCATCAGCCGCCATATGCAGGAAAAGTCTCTAAGGTAAAAATTAACTTTTTGTGTTTTTAAAGGCTAATTATAAAAATTAGACAAATACAATTGCTCTATATTCTCAAGTAATTGTTTATCCCTCTCCCAGCAAACAAATATGTCAATTATTTCATGACCTGGGTTGACAGACTTATTTCTAGACAATGAAAGTACAAAAATTATACTTAATGTGAAACAAGATGTGCAGGAACAGAACAGTGACCTCTTCATGAACAAATGACTTTCTGAGTACATCTTTTTCTTAGAAACTATTGAATTACTTATGAGAATTTTTTTAGAAATCTCTTAAAACAAATCTCTACTCGTTTCTCATAGCATATCATTAGGGCCCTTTCATTCGCAGATCATTCATTGATATCTTTCATCTCAATGTTTCAATGATAAAAACTGGCAATTTTATTTGATTTCCATGGAATGCATTCTTTATTCATTCAACTTTGACATAATTTAAGTATTTCTGTCAATTCAGTAAATAACAAGATAAAAGTTACTTATTTAAAGTCATTTTTTTTGTTTTTAAATTCTTTACTAGAATTCTTAAAGAAGATTCAATTTTAAGTAAAAGCTTTTCTCTGAGCCAAACAAAAACGCATTGTAGAAATCAAACAATAAATTAGATTTTCAGAGAACTATATTACCTATCAAACCAATTTTTCATCATCCACATAGTCCAACTTTATTGCCCTGCCTCACCAACCTTTCTTCATCGTTCAGAGAAATTTAGATATTTGGCAAAACATTATAAGACATTGCAATCATTTAATTGGGGTTTCACATTTGACATATTCATTATTATTATTTAATCACCCATCCTCCATTGTATCCTCTATCCCTGACCCCCCCCCCCCCCCCCACACACACACACACAAAAAAAAATAAAAGACAACCAAATGGTTTCTCACTCACCTTCCTCATATGTATCACTTTCACAGTCACCTTTGCCCTCTCTGACAGTGAGCGCCTCCAAAGTGACGTCCCCTTCCTGCGGCATTTCCTGACCCTGACTATGCTGCTCACCCTCGCTGCGAGCATGCGCCATGGACGCCACGTGCTGAATCATGCTGAGTTTAGTTTTCGTCGAGACATTGCACAACATGCAGTGGTAATACTTCTGGTTCCCCTTCAGCTCGCCCTCGCATTGCTGTAGGTGGTGGAAGATACGACTCTTGATGTCGTGTGCGCGATTGGTGGAGTGCACCTGGAGTTTGTGAATACTGTTGGTGTAATAATCACACGCGTTGCAGCGCACTTGCACAGGGTTGCTGGCGTTCATGTACTTGAGTCTCCATTCGTTGGCCGGTCCGCCCAGCTTTATGTGGTTGACCAGCTGAAGTCGTTGTAAGTGTTTGTCAGTTTTACAGTGAAGCTGAAAATTGGCCTTGAGGTTGGTTTTATACTGACACAGGTTACACAGGTAGCTGCCAGCTGCCACTGTGATGTTGTCTCCTTCACCCTGCTTTGTGCGATCTGTCTGTATATGTTGATGCAGGGAGCCTATGGAGTCTGTGCAGTACACGGCGCATATACAGCAGTGGTAAACCTTGCTGGGTTCCATCACTGCTGGGTTCTCTTCTTGACTGCTGCTCTCTGCCTGACTCCCACTGCCTGGCTCCTTGGATAAATCGACCGGGGAGTCAATGGCAGGTGGCGGCATGTGCTGAGACATGAACATGGCAGCCTGGTCAAATGGGAAGCCTGGGATGCCCCCTGGTGTCAGCGGAGAAGGCAGCGCCATCATGCCCAGATCCTGCTGTAGCATGGCCATCTGCTGCATTTGGAGCTGCATGTCGCGCTGCATGTGCTTCACGTTCTGCTGTAGCACCATCATGTTATGCGTATGCTTCTCGCTAGTCATGTGAATGCGCAGGTTGCGTGCCACATTGGTCTCATAATTGCACACGTCGCACCTCCATGAAGCTTTCGGTTTGACCTTCTTTGCAGCAGCTGCAGCAGCAGCCACTGATGATAACGTGTTGTTGTTCTCAGTGGGCGTAGCCGACACGGGTGGGGTCTGTGGGGTCTGTGGGGACAGGGGGACTTCTATAGGGGCAGCATTATTAGTGGAACCCTGCTGATTGTTCATCTGTTGCTGGTTCTGCAATTCCTGCATGTTATTTATGTGCTTATCTGACTGCATGTGAATACTGAGGTTACCTTTCGTCGTGGTTGAGTAGTTGCATACGTCACATCGATACGGCTTGTACCCGCAGGTGTAGGACTCCCCACGGGCAAGACGCGGATGGGGCTGACTGGTAATACAGTAAATGCACTGTGTGTCATTCTCTGGGTGTTTTTCCTTCATGTGTATCTCCAATGTCTCCTGGTATTTATAGTGCCAATTACACTTGGGGCATTTCAGGGTCTTGCAGGAGTTACGGGAGTGCATCATTGTCATGTGACCTCCCAGGGAGCGCGAGGAGCCCAGAATCATGTCACACTTGGGGCACTCCACCCCCTGCTGCTTTCCCATGGGGTGTTCCTCACATTTCAGCTCTCCCACCACCCCACTGGCGTTAAACAACATCTGGTTCATTTGGGATTGCGAAGCTTGCATTTTCTGCATGATATCTGCCATGCTGATACTGGGAGAGTTTGGTGTGGTGGCGCTGGTATCTGAAGGAACCCCCAGCGCATTCTTCCCCAGGTCTGGTGCAAGATGGAGATTGAATTTCTTGTCGTGATTGTTGTTCAGTCTGTTGGCCGTCTCGGGGCTGACCAGTAAAGGGTCAGTTTCTGAGGCTGTAGAAAGTTTGGGGTTAGAGGGACCATCCCTTTGTGATGCCTGGTGCGAAGACTCTGGATTCGTTTTAACACCTTTGTCAATGTTAGCACCACCCTGAACCTCATCTTGAGCAGAAAAGACGGAATTTGATCCCGTTGTTTTAGCGGTGTTTGTGACAGCACCTTCATCAACCTTGCCATTGGATGGCAGGGCCTTGGACTTGGAAGATTTAGCATTCTGCTCACTCGATGTGGAAAGATCAAAGCCTTCACCAGTGCCTGAATTTCTCTGAACTGAGCCAGAGTTAAAGCGGAAATATGGACCACTTCCCTGGTCTCCATCTCCTTGTGGCGGAGTGTTGGGCTCCAGGAACGACATTAAGGGTTGTTTATCTTTACCCACGCCTTGAATGATTGCTGAGGAATTAGGCCGTGACATAATTTCTTTCTCGCTGTCATTGAGCACCATACCGTGCTCTCCTGTAGCATGGGCTGTGAAGGACTTAGTGAAACCAAATGACAGTTTACAAATGAAACACATGAGAATGGGTTTTGTTGGGACTATGGAGTATGATACGTTCGGCAGTTTCGGTGTAGATTTTGATTTACTGTCCTTTTCTTCTTCCTCCTCCTCATCCTCTTTCTTGCTCCCCGTGCGCACATCGTAAACTTTATAACTGTGCATGACGGGGGCCTCAGGCTTACACTCTGGCATCATAGCATAATAAGCACTGTAGAATGCTGCAGGGTTTCTGTGAATATACACAGCATTTGCGATCTGTGGAAATGCAGCCATTTGTGATGTGGAGGGTTTACCCCTATGGTCCACAATACTCCCTTCTTGTTTTGGAACATCCTCCATAATCGAATCATCGTCACTGATTTCTGAATCTCCTTCAATAATGTAAGCTGAGCCGTCAGGGTTGTACACTATTTTCCCATCAAAGCTCTCCACGTCGCTCAACTCACTCTCCTCATCCCTATCTCCACCATCTTTGTCGGCACCCTGTCCCACCTGCTGAACGCTGGACTGGGAACAACTGTGCTCCATGTATTTCTGCAAAGTGTCAAAGTCCGTGGTACACTCCCCACATTGCACTGGCTCCGCAGAGGAAGACTTAGATGGGGAGGGGGAGGAGGATGAGGAGGAAGAGGAGGAGGAGGAGACGGGGCCCTTAGTCTCTTTACCTGAAGTCTGTATACTCTCCCCCTGTTGAGTACTAGCAGTAGTACTCGCCTCCATTGATAGTGTATTGGAATGAGAAACGATGCCAGTCTTGGGAGAATGCCTTGTCAGGTTTGATGGATCATTGCTCTGTCCATTTGAACTATTTCCAATACTCGGTTCCCTTGATGGACTTTTTATCGCAGTTCTTTTTCCAGCACTGTCCCAGGAGTCTTTGGTTGTAGTAATATCAGTTTGTGAGTCAGCCGTGGCCTGTTCTCCGTTCTCTGAGTATACACTATCATTGGGCTGGACTGGGTCATTGCCCTGGTCAGTCTGGTCCATCTGGTCACTCTGAGTGACCACACCACCAGAACTGACAACAGGAATGGTCACATCCTGATTATTCTCTGCAATCAGGTCAGCGTGGTGGTGGTGGTCACTGGTCAATGCGTCCACCTGGCTGACCGACTGCAGCTTGGAGAGATTCTCATTGATCTTGTCCAGGGACGCTGCCTCTAAAGCCATGGTGTGTTCACAGGGTCCCAACTGACCACTACACTGGACATCAGTCACAATAACCCTCTCCTGGCTTGACCAGTACCCATGGTTATATCATTAACATCACACCAGCCAATCGGAAAGGAGGAAGCTCATCTGAAATGACCAAAAGACCTTTTGTTATAACACTCTCAGTCTGTGCTAAGAAATAGGCAGAATCATTACAATACAGGTTAATTGGTTCCCTGGTCACTGGGGCTTGGCTTCCCCTCTAAACAAGGGTGTTGCCCGAGCCCTGTCACCTGCCCATTATCTCCTGACCATCTCCTGACTTCAAAGAGGTGGAAGTGACACTCTGCAATCAGATAAAGAAGGGTTTTGGAGAGTTTAATTAGTGAGTGGGGAGGGGGAGAACAATTAGCCGTTGCACAGGTAGCAAATTCCTGGGTGCAGTTTAATTATAACAGTAGGCCCGTAAGCAGCGTCCAGTGGCCAGAGTGCCCAGGTACATGTCCACACAGGTGGGGAGCCATTACATCACCTGTAATCAGCTGACCCCTATTATCAGCTCCAGTGTCTCTCTCAGGGGACTGAAAAGAAACAGAGACTGGTTGATTAGGCTACGGTGTAACAGTTGATAATTAGTGCCAGGAACAATTAAACTTAACTGGAAGCAGTAGTTAAGCAAACATCTGCCTGTGCCTCTCTGGTCCCCATATCAATAAACTGCAAAAGAGATATACACTATATAGTTAAGTCTTAATAAATATGTCATAGTGACAATGCAGCCTGAACGACATAGCCCTACAGGCTTTCCAAGTCACCTTTTAAAGTTTAAACTGAATTTTTATACAGCAGTTTTTCAGACCTAGTAAGACTTCTTTCTTCACTTCCCCTACATCTCATGTGGCCATCGCAGCCAGAGGCAAGGCCAATTCTGCAGACACTCTTAAATTTTCTTTCCTCACAATTAATGGCATTCATCCTGCCTCTGTGATTTATATAATTCCTCAAAGAGACAGAAACAAGCTAAAGCGGAACTATTTTCTGATATGCTCATATTTTTTCTCTCGGGAAGCCTGGAGTCAATTAATTCTTACCTATTTTTAATGGGGGTAAAAGTTGGCACTCTTGAAAAGCAAGGCTCGAAAGGCAATTGTAAACTTTGCCTAGTCTTTTATCATTTCACATTTCAAGGAAAGGAAAATATATAATTTTTTTCCTACTACTAGCTCATATCAGGATACAATGTGTTTTTCTAATCATGGGATTTTGTAATAAAAACCATCATAATCATGATTATTTGTCAGTGACAACAAAGTCATTAACTTCTTTAAAAACTAAACTCCAGGCAAACATTTGGTAATTAATTATCTTACCACAATGGCAGGAGTTTAACTAGGTTTCTTATCTAAATCTTGAGAAAGATTTCATAATTAGTCTCTTTTAGATATTCAGTTTAATGGCACATATAAAACCTCCTTTTCATCTTCACGAGTTTGCATGAGAGGGACCAAAAATCAATGTATGATACTTAATTCTGTTCATATTCTCAATCTAGGTACAAATAAATTGAAAATTGAGTTACAAAGTGAAACAGTATTTTCTACAATTACATAACAGGCACACTACATAATTACTTTTGTTCCAAACATTAAGTGTGTGAATGACAAAATAATTAGAGATTTTAAGATTCTTAATGAAAGTTGTAGGGATATGTGTTGTCTTAAAATACTTTCTCAAAAAATAAAATGCAAATTCAATAGGAAAATAATTGGTAGCATAAAATGATTTTTACACTGGCAGGCAGACATCAGGGTTGCTTTTAATCTTAATGTAATCACAGATAAATAACGAGTACTGTAATGATTTTTGGTTCAGCGTCTAAGCTGTTTTTAATTTCAAGTTTGAGAAAAATATGAGCATTAACTGAGTAATGATTTTCTCCCCCTATGTCATGTTCTGATAACGGCTAACACGAAGAGATAGCCCGGCTCAACACACCCTCATTACACCAAGGCAATCTCACTCTCTCTTTCTCTCTCCGCGGGGTCCCTCCTAGTCACCACTGTATTAGTATACATATATCTCCAGGATCGAGCACGGGGCATCAATACAAATTACATATTATTCCAATACGTCATCTGTCGGTTGATGACTTATAAACCAGACCTCGGCTGAAGTGGCCTGAAGGTTGCCTGCGGTCATTAAATGTGAAATATGAAATGTAATCCATGGCAGAAATACTGTGATATTCAAAGGTTAGTGTTCCATAACTAACTCGCACAGCTGGGGATTCATAGCATATTCTGACAGGACTTAATTCATAACTTTTATGATTTCAGTACCAAAGAACTTTGTGAACTTAATAAAATTGTGTTTATATTCCTATTTCCTGAGTTATGTATTTATAATTGAATTGGTGATAAAATTCAGATGACCTAGAATGTGAAAAAAAAATTGTTCGCATGTTGCCTTTCTTTACAAATATTTAATTTCTTCTCTGGTATTAATGCAATATTGAATAAGAGAATGGGTTTAGGAACTTAATAAAAATGTTTAAATTCATCATTCCTAAGATGTGTTGATAACCTGATGATGAGGCTTGGATGAAGGAAAAAATAAAAAACTTTGAAATGTTATCTTTGTTTACAAATTCTCTATATATTCTCATGATAGATGTTTTGCATATTCCACAGATGTTTGATCAAACTACCTAAGACAGCGGATCACCTACGTAACACAGCATGCCACAGAAACCAGCTTTTTTTAAGGGGGGTTGTCTGTAAAAATGGACCTATTTAAACCTACGTTTACTCATTTTGAAAAATTACACAGAACCTAGATCCAATTCTGCTTCAAAACGGAGCTTTTCCAGCCATAAGGCAGTTGTTTTAAAACCTAGTTGTCCCCTTGCCCATAGACCTTTGAAGAACTGGCAACCATCCTCTTATTAACTCTCCCAATAATGAGGAAGAGGAACCCCACTCGTTAAGAACAAACTCCCTTCTGTTGTTTGCCAAAGACAATTTAGATAATTTTCCCCTCCCGAACATTAACTTACTTGTAGAGCCCAGGGAAACTGGTTCTTGCCACTGTGGTAGCTCAGGTAAATAATTACATAATTGGAAACTGTAGCTGAATTATTTTGTAATTACAGCTGTTACAAAACCCAAGTAGGTAAGATGAACAATGGGCAGCATCAGGTGGTTGTATGGGGGGAGGGAGAAGAGGAAAGAGAATTACAGTTAATAATGGTGGGAAAGACTAATTCGTTGGTGTAAATGAAATGCAATTTTTTCAGATATTAAGAGATGTACAATCAATTTGTTGCCAAACAAACAAATTAACTAAATTAAAATTAACCAATTTTCAATTGGAATTTTTTCTTTTTCAGAATTAGTGAAACATCAAACCATCAAAAGATGGCACTGTTGATGAAGGGCAAAGAAAGAAAATAGAGTTTAATTTTAACACAGATCCCTTTAAATTTGTTTACCGCATCGAGCCAGATTTACCCTGCACACTATGAAATCTAACTGCATCCTTCAGTCACTTGTAAAGACATCTTTTGCAGGCATCCACCCAACATGTGTAAATTCATATCAACATGTGAATTTATAGTTATGTTTTAATGCATTTACCTAAACATCTCCAAATGACAAGAAAGTACCTCAAAGGCATTAATAAAAACAATGTCATTAAACCCAAAAAAGTCATTTTAGGTGGGTAACTGGTGGTATCATGCTCACCAGCACCACAAACAACGAGATGTTCATCAACATGGCCAAGATATGAATTATTGCATTCTTTAGATAACACTGATAAACTTTAAAGCTGTTAAGTTCCTCAGCTTCCCTTTCTTTTATTTCATTTCATTTCAATCTGGCTCTGCTCAACACCCTAACTATAACTGGTGTCAAGTTAATTTTTTCTGGGGGGAAGGAGGAAGGCATGCAGCTGGGGGAGAGGGGGGGGGGGAATAATTGGTGGTTTGAAGAGAGTAACATATATATAAATATAATAAGATATATCAGAGGAAGAATGCTGTTAACATTCAACTTAGGGAAACATGCATTTACACAAATTTTACTGAATTATCAACAACAATAACTATGGCTGACAAAAGGACAGAAGACAGAACAGTACCAGCAGACAAAATCACCCTCAGGTCATCTCAGAATCCCATCTGATGGAGTTCTCACATGTTAGATACATTTCTGCAACAGAAACTTAATTTTGCATGCGAAATATGACCATTAACAAACGGTGCTGAATGCGAGCATTAGACATCTCAACTTAAAGTAACCAATCATCGGTGATATCTTGTCCCGAGAAGTCCACTGGGACCCTTGCTAACAGTTTTGTAGCCCCCACTATTAGGCGAGGGAATTCAAAATCCATCATTACACCGTGTAATTTCTCAGCAGCTCTAGTCGCATTTAACTTCTCCCCACTTGTAAAGAACTTCCATATCTGCTGTAAACCTATCAGTCTCACTAGCACAAAGACATAGACCTGGTTTTGGAGTCATCAGAGATTTGCTCCCATACCGGGGCTATCCAATGTGGTCACCAAACAATGGGCAAATTGCTGAGGATTTATAAGTTTCTAACTTAATTTATTGAAGCAAAGCTGCACAAATATTTCAATCCCACAAAACAAATCTCCCACGCCATGGTGGACTTAGCTGCGGCAGTCCCGATAACACTATATATTAGTTTTTAATCAATTAACAATGTCCTAAGAAATCTAGGTCTTTGTTATCTTATCGCAAACTTGTGGAAACTTCTGTATTTTAATTGCCTCTTTTGCAGCCATATAACTATTTACAGCCCAAACTTCTGGAAACCATCACTTCAGCTTTAATTGCATTATTGCTTTCAATTCAATATAGAAAAGAAAAAAAATCTTTCAAAATATTTTCAATGAATTTTTTAAAATTCAAATTATCCAAAATGCATTACAATCAAGAATAAGTATTGTTTACCATTCAACACTTCCTTACCTTTTAAAAATACACTGACCCCATCCCTTAGCAGGAAAAAATACACATACTGTTATTTAATGCTCTCCCAGATAATTTCAGAATAAAATATATACAAGTTACATAGATATGACAGCTATGAAGTATAATTTAAAGATCAGAAGAATGAAGTATGTGCTGTTCAAGCAGTATATCACCAGCAGGACATGGTGGAGATATGTCAATATTTGATCAGGAGTCTGACTGCAGAAATAAAATGGCCCCGTTCAAGCTTGAAAAGGTGGCTATACATATTGACACAAAATCACAAAATCCTGAAGATCTGTATGGAACTTGCAAAGGCATCCCTTAAATATACACCTCCACATTATGGTGAATTGAGTGAAGCGAAAAAAATCATCTAATTTCAATAGAGTGCAGAAACTGACTTCCTAGCTCGTCCCTATTGTACGGCTCCTAACCAGCCAAGACTTAAATAGAAACTGCCCAGTGGTTAAACATCCACAGTCTTAAGGAATAGGCCAGGAACTATATTTCTTCTATTTGCCTTGCCACTTTAAGGTTATAACCTCTCAGATGTGGAGAGAGGCGAAAGCACCGAGAATTCCATGGAATAAAAAGCAATAAATTCCATTTCTGTGATTGCATGCCGCCTGATGAAGGCATCCAACTGGAACCGAGATTAATCATTACGGAGGGTTGAGCTGGAGGCCATTCGGCGCTTTTCATACTTTAAAATAAAGGTCAAGCGATCCGAGAGATACATTTCAGACTGTCACGCTAGGGTAGGTGTGCTTTATACCCTGTCCAGTGACCAAGGCGAGCTGTGAGAAAGAATTAGTACCACCTCTTCTCACAATACCCTTAAGAAGGCAAACTAAACAGCCTTAGTAATATATCCAAAGTTCTTCCCACATTTAGAGTAAAACCATGCATTCAGCTACTGGCCACAGGAAGAATGCACTGTCATTGTCCCCACATGTGACAGAACTATACTGTCTCACAGGACAAGTAGCAATCATGTTTTTTTAAAGAAAAACACAATTGGATGGGAAGTGGGAAATCAAAGCTAACTTGAAAATCATATATCACTCATGTTATCAAAGGACTTACTTCAAGTGGTGGAATATGCTCTGTTGTTTCATGACTCCAAGGAAAAAATGTCCACACCTTTTTTTTGTTGTCTTTTCCTGTCAACTGTCAATGGCTGTGGTTACAAACAAATAACGCGTCCACCTGGAGTTACACCAAGTCAAACAATGTAGTCTCATCTCCCAACAGTGTCTGTTCACAGTTCATCACTGTCATATTTTGAATTATGAATTACAATTAGAAAAAAAAAGCGACCACATTTTAAGTAGATGCAAACATTGTGTGTGTCATTAGCTGGCTCGCATTCCATGATAGCCCCCATTAACCAGAGCCTCAATGCGCCTTCCTATGCCATTAAATTTACATAACTTATAGATATTCCTCTCATCATGCAAACGAAACACATTTTGAATTCTTAATTAAACAATCAATTTTGAAGGTGAAAATATTAAAATATATCAAAGCTTTTGCACTCATATATAATGGAGTTTTTGGTGATTAGAGGTGTCTGGAAATGGCATTAGCATAGGGTGGTATTAATTATACGATGGTCCCTGTGAAACTAAAAAGGGTGTCATGTCCTATTATTTCAGTGCATTAGGCCACGGCCAACACAGCATGTCATGATATCCGAGATCATTAAGAGTCAAACTAAAGACAGCATGTTACCTTTTGACTGCCGCATGACCTCAACAAACTTGAAATAATTCTTCCTTCCTGCTAAAATTAAGACCTCAACCAATTTAAGATCGTGAGTTTTTTCTCTTGATAAACATTTTTCCCTGCCCTGTCTAATACTTCTCATTTACATAAAAAGTGATAAATAAATGGAATCATTTAATTAATCAATTTATCTATAAATTCATAAATGTTGTAAAATAAATTCAAATAAAATACATCTAACCAATCCACATGATTAGAAGCCCAGTCCCAGCCTCATTTTCCTCTGTTGCAGTTGACTCCTTTGTTCCAAGAGCTAAATGCCACATAAATATTTCATAATCTGATCTTCACACTGGCATGTGAAGTACCAGTATATGTTAAGATATTTAAGAGTGGACCCACAATATCAACCAATGGCTGATTTTCCCTCTAGTTAACAAATGAAGACAAAACTCATCTCGTATTTGGTTATTTAAGGCCTATTTAATGAATATTCAATTGAAATGACGATGATTATTCTTCTCTTTATGACAATCACTTTTTCCCAATATATCAGATGGCACCAGTCAAATGTCAACATGAAAAGTCATTCGTAATTTCATATGAGAAAAATCGGTAGATCAGTTGTCATATGTTGCAAACAAAAGTGACACAGAGATATTCATGGTTCTTTTATCCCTTGAGGACAGTGATACTGTAATTACTCATAAATGTCAAACATTTCGCTTATTCCAAACTTTCTTATAAACAACCATATTTATTACTAGTAAAAATATTGTTGACTCATGATCAACACACTTGACTCACTCATTTTTCTTATCAAATAATTTTTGTGGGACACTTACTCCTACCTTTGCTTCTAATGAGTAAAATATTCTACCTTATAATGCTCATAAGCTTTGCTTTAGACATTATTCATTAGGTTTCCTGAAAAGGAAATGTTAGAACTCTTTTCCGAAACTTAGCTGTCATCTTTAAAGCTATAGGAATTTGATCTCTCTTGGTTACTTCCTATCAGACTAATTGCTTGTAGTTACAAAAATGGGTCTGCATGAAAATGCACCAGAAGCAGTGATGATAGTAGTGGTAGTAGTAGTAGTACTAGCTGTAGTAGTATAGTAGTAGTCAGTGCTGTCACTATAATTCCTGCATGTGTGCCAAAATCTTTCACTCAAGGAACAATTGCTGGCACACACCAGTAAACTACTTATAAATACTGAAACATTGCCACCTTTCTGGATTTGCTAGTTCCTCTCAATCTTGGGATTAACTCTGGCTGAGCTAATGCATGCAAAAACATCTCAGTCTAATATTATTTCCATCTCCATGCCATTTTATTCACTTATCATTACTATTATTGTTTTTTTTTTTGTTTTGTTTTGTTTTTTTTTTTGCAAATCTATGACACCAAAAGAAGTAAAGAAAAAGAAAACTTTGTATGATCTTTTCAGACCCCCCCCCCCTCAAATGCTGGATTAATTTTTCCTTACATAACCAAAGTGTGACAGACACATCAGAATTTTTCCAGGTAACTATCATCCTACTTTTTTTCCTATGTTCCTACAAGCCTGTGGACATCTTGGCTGCATTGTCTGATCTCCTCTGAAGGGGATATAATTACAAAAAATATAATAATAAGTGAATAAATAACTCAAATTTCCATCTTTGACCCTTTCTCACAAAAAAACACTTATTTTCTAAACCTTCATTAACAAATAAAAGGAAAGAAACTGACCAATAAGAGGAAGAATTCATGTCAGACAGATACATAGAGGGAGCTGCTGAGAGAAGGGAATTCTGCTTCAGCAACCAACCAATAAACACATACAGATTGATTCCATTCTATTGTTGATTGTGTCTTCTAATCAAGCATCTTGAGTAAAAAAAATGTTGTACAAAATTAATTACATGTTACAATGTAAATTTTAATTAAAACTGACAGAAGAAAGTGGTTGTGTGTACATTTCAAAACCATTTTGTCGTTTTAAAAGTTACATTGCACCAAAAGAAAAAGGAAGGCAATGTTAAAAGCTAGTCAATTCGCTCCTACAGTATCATAAAAGAATAATGATAAAAGGGAAAAAATACCATGGAATTTAAAACAGAAATAGAAGCTTCTGCATATTTACATTGCCTTAAGTTTCAAGTGATGATTAAAACTCCCTCTTCACAATGTCTTCAGTCTTCAGGTAACTGATCCTTCAAACCCCTATGACAACTTCCTCTCTGGATGTAATTATTAATCTTTATAATAAACACTCTCTTTTATCCGCTAAAATGCTCTGACCTTTACTTGATAAAGATCCATTAATTCATTGGGTCTCACTGAAGAAGAAATGGCTCCACACATGAATTATTGAACCTTAACATTATTACTATTTTCATATTTTGAAAATAGTCAGGTGAAAAGGTTGCATTAGGAAGTGATAATGAGCGTTTTCAAGACATCGTAATGTGCATTGCGATATGCATAAAAAAGTGCTTGAAAATGCTTTAATTTCATTATTTTCCTCAAATGAAATTCATAATGGCAGCACTACATAAAATGTGGAACCAAAAATGATAACTCATTTTAATAACTGTGGGATAAGTACCACTGTGGGACTACAGGCTTTAAAAACCTAGTTTTAGACTTATTTCTTCAGCTTTTGTGTTTACATAACCTTTGATGGCCTAATCACATATAGCAGGGTGGGTGTGGGTGGGGGTTGTGGGGGGTGAGGTCCACGGATCAGAAGGAACTGCCCTTTTGGCCAGAAAAGGTCCACAATAAATGACTTGCTCTAGGTCCAGTGCCATATCTCAAGTTGGGTTTACTAAGGGGGCTAAAAGGATCCAATTTATATAAGATAAATAAATAAGTAAATAATGTATAAATAATAATTAAAACTCTGAAATTGCCAACAACAGAGAGCTGTAATTGAGCTCCTCACACTGTGCTATGGATGGAACTGACTATCAAAACCCTGTGAACAAAAAAATTAATTCTCATTAGAGATCAAACTTTTCCTGACATAATTGTAAAAAAATTATAAATATATTGTTTCCTAACAAAACAGAGTATAATCTAGAATGTGTAAAATCAACTATAGGTTGCAGAATTCTATTTGGTGCTCTATCTGGCAGTGATACTGAACTGCTGCCTAAAAAAAAAACCAACCCACAAACTAATCGCATAAACATACAACAAACATTACAAATAAAATTATCACCATCAACAAAAACAACAACAACAAGGTTAGGATTGTCTATAAACACTTAGCTATGTACATGATCTATTGGTGGCTGAGATGGTCAGTCTGATGGCCCCTACATGACCCTTCACTGACCTCTGTTTGACCTCAGAAGAGAGCTGGACTTGCCTATGGTTACTGGATGGAGGGGGAGAGATTTGGACATGTTATGGAATGGTTTCACATCAAAACGCAGGCAATTCATCACAATTCAGCCACTAGTTATTGTACTAACTGGCACCAGCTATACTAATGTATAGGGACATTAGGGAAATTATAGGGAACAGGAGTCTTTGGCCATTTAAGAGGTAATCTAACCTCAACAAGTTGGGGGAGGGGGGAAGGGGGGAGGGGGGCAAACATTCAACTAAGGGGGTGGGGGGTGGGTGAAGCAATTTTTACTTCAACAAACAGGTTTTCATACATTTTAGACAATTCTTTGATTATTAAAACCTTTGCACAATTTCTGTCCCGGGCTTTGCTTTAGGCATTTTGTAAGCGTAAGTAGACAATATGGCGAGAGGATCCACTGTTTGGAGGACCACCATGAAAAGGGACTGAGACCCATTTATTATAACCATAACACCTCTAGTGCGTCACACATAGGAAATGCCAGCCAACATGTTCACCTCATCCAGACTGAAAATTTTTATGGAAAAAAACCGAGTAACACATATTTAAATTCAAGGCATTTTCCAATTAACTAATTTACAGAGCAAAGGCTCTTTTTTAAGGATTAAAAGAAATCTTCATTCTTAGCTAAATGGCATTTTTTTTTTTTTTTACATCAACTTATCAATGTTCCCAACTGGACAGAAGACTATAATAACAAAACTGAAGTATGACTATCCTTATTTTGAAGCACTTCAACAATTGTAAATTGCAGCTTAGACCAAAAAAAAAAAAAAAAAAAAAAAACAACTAGACTC